TTTTTTTTGAGACGGAGTCTTGCTTCTTCGCCCAGACTGGAGTGCAACAGCACCATCTCAGCTCACTGGAACCTCCACCTCCAGGGTTCAAGCAATTCTCCTGCCTCAGCCTCCCCAGTAACTGGGATTACAGGCACGTGCCACTGCGCCTGGCTAATTTTTGTATTTTTACAAATACGGGGTTTCACCATGTTGGCCAGGCTGGTCTTGAACTCCTGACCTCAAGTGAGCCGCCTGCATTGGCCTCCTAAAGTGCTGGGATTACAGGTATAAGCCACCGTGCCCTAATTTGAATTTTTAAGGGAGAAAGAAAGGAACTCCCTTTATACCCACCCCTCATTGATCCAATCTCTTGGGGTGGTGATTCTTAAACCCTGGTTGTGTATCAGAATCATCTGTGAAGTTTTTACAAGATCCACAAGTCATTCTAGTGCAGTCAAAGCTGAGAATTGCTCTTTTAGCCCTTCCCTGGGCCTCCTATCATTGTAGTTTGGCCAAAGGGGATTTTCCTACCCCAAGTGGTTATTTTTTCACTTCCTTCAAGCTCATGCTGTTGAGCTGGCTTCCTTCCCATAGTGGCCTTTCTCTCCCATTTAGGGACTACGGCTATTCACTTCTTCCTGAGCCTGCACCCAGCTGTAACTAGCAGCTTCCCTAGCCCCAGTACATTTGAGGAGATTCAGTTCTTCAACGGCCCTAATTACCACAAGGGTATTGACTGGTGAGACTGGGCCCCATTTGAATGTTTCTCAGAGGAATTCCCTTCCCCCAAAATACCCCATTCCAGCTTCCCTCAGCAGACTTCTGGCCACTTCACTCTGCATATTTTTCTGCTTCTCTCTCTTCTGTGCTACTTCCTAGGTACATGGATTTCTTCCCTGTCCCTTCCAATGCCAGCACTGATTTCCTATTTGAAAAAAGTGCCACCTATTTTGATTCAGAGGTTGTGCCACGGCGTGGGGCTGCCCTCCTGCCACGAGCCAAGATCATCACTGTGCTCACCAACCCTGCTGACAGGGCCTATTCCTGGTACCAGGTCTGCCTGAGGCTAGGGACACAATGGGCTAAAGGTTGGGGGGTGGTGCAGTGACTGCTAGAGAGGGAGAAAGGAGTGAGGGTAGAGAAACTTAACTAGTGCCTTGGGGACAGGTGCCTATGCTGTACTGTCTGTCACCAGACCATGCATAAGGACAGAATAATACTGTCAAATCACCAGTCCTTCACCTTCCTTCTCTTTGTCCTTCAGCATCAGCGAGCCCATGGAGACCCAGTTGCTCTGAATTATACCTTCTATCAGGTGATTTCAGCCTCCTCCCAGACCCCTCTGGCACTGCGCTCCCTGCAGAACCGCTGTCTTGTCCCTGGCTACTATTCTACCCATCTACAACGCTGGCTGACTTACTACCCCTCTGGACAGGTATAATCCCTCCAAGAGCCCTCAATGGCGTTCCCCTTCCCCTCTTTTTCCCTTCAGCCCAGAGGCTTCTTAGGAATATAGAGGGAACCACATCCCTGTCCCTTTAGTTGCTGATTGTGGATGGGCAAGAGCTGCGTACCAACCCAGCAGCCTCAATGGAGAGCATCCAGAAGTTCCTGGGTATCACACCCTTTCTGAACTACACACGGACCCTCAGGTGGGAGAGCGTGACCTAGGGGAGGAGGACTCTGTGGGAAATGGGGAATCAGGTTGACCATGTTTGTTAGAGACATGGGTTTCCTCTGTCTCACAAGGGGAGACATGTCCCTGTGGGCAGGGAGGGGTGTTGTGCATTTATGGAACTTGAGTTTCTCTTCTCCCTGCCACTTCATGGCCTCTTCCTGTTGAGCAGGTTTGATGACGATAAGGGATTTTGGTGCCAGGGACTTGAAGGTGGTAAGACTCGCTGTCTAGGCCGGAGCAAAGGCCGGAGGTACCCAGATATGGACGCTGAGGTAAGTAAAGGCAGGGGGCAGGGGATCCCACTCCACTTCCAGGATCTGATTCTGTGTCCAACTAGTGTCCCACTCCTTACCGTTTCTGCCTTCATTTTTCTCCTGTCAGTCCCGTCTTTTCCTTACGGAATTTTTCCGGAACCATAATTTGGAGCTGTCGAAGCTGCTGAGCCGGCTTGGACAGCCAGTGCCCTCATGGCTTCGGGAAGAACTGCAGCATTCCAGTCTGGGCTGATGTCCTAGCCTCCTGTACCAGCAAAATACCCCCTGCTTCCCTATGGGGCAAGCCCAGACCAGGGCCCACAAGGGGGATTAGAGTGGCCTGGCCCCTCCCTGTCTACCTCAGTAGCCCCCAGGCCTGAGATGGCTTAGAAGGGAAGGGTATGCTTTTCCCATAGTTCTTGGGCCTAATAAAGGGGCTTCCTCTGGTACCCCACATCATGGTACTAGGTACCTTTGACCTATCATCTTGGGAGGTAGGTAGGAGTAAAAGGGTCCAGGCAGGGTGTGGAGGAATATATTAGTCCAATGAGATTTCCCTCTTCATCCACAGCAGTGTATCTATACCTGGCTATGGGAGGGACCCTTTGCTATGGCCCCTTTAGTCAGGCAGTGGGATCTACCTGTGGCCCGGCCTCCCTAATGTCATTCACATTGAATGGGGATGAGGTCGGAGAGTGGCTCATAGAGCTAAATGAGTCCTAGCTGTGGGCTAGAAATGTCCTTAATAAACATCCTTATTTTTCTGTTTTGTCTGCCTCACTGGAGTGAGAAAAACCTAGACGAAAGCAAGTGTCATTTTCCCCCCAGTTCATCTGCACATGGAGGGAAAGAAGGGAAAGGCCCAAGTCGACTAGAGTAAAAAAGGAGTTTATATATTTATAAATGCCAAATAAATACCAGAGGCCACCCAACGCCCCCTCCCAGACAGGGCTGTCTCCCCCAGCCCTAGGCGTCTAGGGTCTGAGACATCTTGGCCCACAGCCACAGCCGAAGAGCAGCTGTCAGTCTGGGCCACCAGGGAACTGAGTGAGGATGATCTGTCCAGCCAAGATTCATTCCCCCTGTGTGAGGGGCCCCCATAGCCACAGGCCTGCGTCCCTGTATAGGACCCTAGGGGTAAAAGACTCAGGGGGAGAAGGTGGCCATCTCGAGTGAGACCCGCTGCCACAGCTCCTTGGTCTGTTTGCTGCGCTTGAGGTTCTGCAGGATGTCGTTGAACTGCATCATGCCCATGGGCGTCAGGCAGAAGGCGCTGCGGGCGCTCCGGATCGCATTCACAAAGTCGTCGTAGTCCGCAGGGGTCAGGTGAATCAAGCGGTGGTGGATGTACTGGAGGAGGATGTGCGCAGGATGAGCCTTAGTACAAAGCACAGAACCAGGTCCTGCCTCCCTTCCCTCTGGTCCTAGACCACCCAGGAAGTGCTCTACCCTGCTGTATACTCTGGGTTGTCACCTGCATGTATGCCTGCTGGCAGCGTTGCACCAGTTGGTGGAAGGCCGGGGCACGCAGGTGGTTGTGGGCATGAGCGGGACTCAGCCGCTGCAGCGTCTCCATGACGATCTCCTGCAGCACAAACGGGCTCAGCACCCCCTTGGCTGCCCCCACACAGAACTGGTGCACGTAGTTCACTCCTGGGGGGCAGGGGGAGGGGCATGAGACGGGGGTGGCCACCTCTGCCCTAGGGACCCGACTTACATATCTCAGCTCTGGCCTGGCAGAGAGCCTCCCTCCACCCCAGGAGCTGAGGTAACCCTCCGCCCCCCGCGCACGCACACATACCCGACCAAGGCCTCAACTCTGAGCAAGAGCTAGGAAGGAGGTCTGGGATAAGGAAGGTAGGGAGAGCAGGTTGGGGGGGGGCAATGGTCCTAGGGAGGGGAGGTGTTACCCAGCTTTGCTGCCAGCCCCAGCAACCATTTGACATCATCAGTGTAGGGGGGGGAGCGGGAGAAGTTGTTGGGGTGATCGTTGTGTGCCCGGCGACCCAGCATCTCCAGTGCCAGCATTCCTGGGAGATAAGGGTGGGCACATGGTAGGGTGTATTATCTTCACCCTTTACCCCAACCTGGCACCTGACCCCACAGTAAACAAATTAAGAGCTAGAGGAGGGGTCCTCTGAAAAGCCACTGCCACAACTGCAGGTAAGAGCACAGAAAGGGACCTCCTCTCACCGACACGGTAGGCAGCGTGCAGGTGGTGCAGGCTGTGGGGATTGACTGGCTGACTGTGCGTCTCCTCCTCGGGCGGTGGAAAACCTCCGCTAACCAGAGGGCTGGGCTGTGTGGTCAGGGCAGGCAGCGAGGCACCCTGGATGGCCGGAAACGTGGATGCTGGATGGACACTGCTCACTAAGAGTGGGATGAGAGCCATGTGAGGAACTCGGGGCCCAAAAAGAGGCAGAGTCCCTCCCTACCTCCCCTGCCCAGTGTGCCTCCCCTCCATTCACCTGTTCCCTGGCCCCACAACTCACAGGCCACACTGGTGGGCAGTGGAAGCCCTGGCTCTGTGTGGTAGGGATGTACTGTGATGGGTGCCATGGAAGGGACGGGGAAAGACACAGCAGTAGCAGCAAGTGAGGGAGGAGTCACTGAATAAGGGTACTGAGCCCCCAGGAATGCAGGATGCACACCCTAGGGGCAGGGAGAAGAACAGAGGGAAGATGCCAAGTTCGATTAGGATGTAGCTCTCCTGCTTCACCCCCATAAGTTGCTATCCTGACATTTATTTTTATTTATTCATTTATTTTGAGATGAGGTCTCACTCTGTCACCCAGGCCAGAGTACAGTGGCACGACAGCTCACTGCAACCTCCACCTTCCAGGTTCAACCAGTTCTGTCTTGGCCTCCCGAGTAGCTGGATTACAGGCGTGCACCCGGCTAATTTTTGTTAGAGACTGGGTTTCACCACGTTAGCCAGGCGGGTCTCAAACTCCTGACCTTAAGCGATCCACTCACCTCAGCCTCCCGAAGTGCTGGGGTTATAGGTGTGAGCCACTGTGCCCACCTATCTTTTCTTTAGTTGGGCTGGGTCCCCAGGCTCCCACCACCTCACCAGGACTCTTGGACAGCCCAATTATACTCCCAGAGTACCCCACTTCAACCTCCTATGAATTCCCAGTATTATTCCCACATATCTCACCCCAGAGCAGAACACTGGTCTCACCTGTGGGTATGCAGAGCTGGGCACAGGGAAGACGGCAGGCCGGGGCATGTGAGGCATGGGGTGGGTGGGGTGAGCTGGGTGAGTGAGGTACTGAGGGCTACAGGGCAGGTGGGGCTGTAGAGCAGTGTAGGGGTGCAGGCCAGGGGAGTGGCCATGCCCCAGTCCTGGACCCGGGTATAAACTGGACCCAACCGAGATGACAGGCACCACTGTGGCTGCTGCTGTCACCGCTGCCGCTGCCACTGTAACTGGTTCAGTCCCTGGGCCCCCTCTACCCTCAGTCAGACCCCGCCCAGCCTCCCCAGCTGCCCTGATCCCACTGGCACTACAGCTTGTAGCTACTTCACGGGCTGTGGATGAGCCACCTGCGGTTTGCTCATATAGCCAGAACCACTGGTGAGCAACCTCAAACAACACTTCAGGGTACACGCCCCCACCCTTAGCCGCCTCTTCCACTGCCATGCAGGCCTTCTCCAACATCAGGTTGTCCTAGAAGAGAGGGGCACAGAGTGTTAAGGGGGAAAGGCCCTTACCACATGGATGGTATCAGATGACATTCCAGTGTCTCCCTCAGAGCTGTCTCATTCCCAGGGAGGCATCAGATGTCAGTGTCAATGCTTAGAGTCCGTATCAGAGCAATGAGTGCTTCACAGACATTGAACAAATTCTGACCAAAAATGAGTCAAGACCCAGGTTATAGTCCTAGTTCCAAACTAATTTAACAGGCCCCTCCCATTCAAGTCCTATATGTATGAGGCCTTCCCTAAGTTTTCTATCCTGAGTGATCACCTTGGTCCCTAAACTGTAGACTTCCATTTCCTTATCTGTAAAACACATAAACCTAACCTTTGAGTTGTGAGCTAAAGGAAAGATTGGTGTGAAAGCACATTAACATGTAAAATGTCACCATGAGAGGACAAATGGTCATCTGTAAACTCCAGGAAAGGGGAATCAAGAGCTGGGCCCTTAGCTTTCCCATGCCCAACCCCCCTGCCCAGATGCCCCAGAAGAGGTTCCCAGATTGCCCATAGAAATACCTGTTCCTTGCACTGCACCAGGGCCCGCTGGATCTCATTGGGGTTCAATGCATGGGCATGGGGCAGGCAGCTCAGGGCCAGCTCTGCTGCTGCCCTCACCATATTGGAGTCTCTTGCTCGTGAAGCCCTGTCAGCCAAGGATGCAACCTCAGGGGGCGTCAGATGCCCATCCCAGCATTCTACCAGTATAGTCAGGGCTGCGCTGCCTATCTCCATGGCCTGGCCTTAGGGAAAAGGAGAGAAGGGCAGAGTGGGGTTAGCATGGGCACCACTGGGGTGTAAGAATGTCTCTTTCATCAGATCGGTAATCCCACAAAGATAAGGCTCTTATCCCCACCAATTAATCCCCCTCCCATACCCAAGTCAGGTCACATGGTTTACCTGTAATCCAGGAAACGTGAGAAGAATAAGTACGTGAGAGCCAGTTGGGAGAAACAAAGTTGTGCAGGCCAAGGGCATAAAGCCCAATCTCGAAGGCGCAAAGGTGCAGGTTGCGGTGAGGACCCTGGTGGCCCCCTGAGGAAGATGGATGTGTGAAAATGGAAGTGCTGCTGTTGCCCCCTGCCTTGATCAGCACTGTCTTCGCCAGCTCGAAGTAGAAGTGTGCAGCTGCCTCTGATGGCTGATTGGGTACATGGGGGGCATGACTCTCGGGGCGGCGGCCCTTGTACCTGAAGGGGCAATGGGGTAGGGACGGGGGTTGGGGTTTCTTTGAAATGGGTGTTCAGGTAGATTGGGAAGGACCAGGGCAAGTGAGGATGCTGGGGAACAATGGTTGGATTGCACTAGGGATGTGGCTCTGAGGGTAGGCCAGATCAGGGAAGATGGGGAGTTCTTCCCACTGACCTGCCAACTTCAACGGTCTTCGCCCGGGCTCCTCCACTGGCACTGGCCCGACGACTTCCACTGGAGGATGAGGAACCCAGGGAGTCCGAAGAAGAGCTGCTAATGCTGTCACTGTCCTGTCCTCGACCCCAGGAGGTGGGGGCCCAGCCTCCTCGAAGTGGTCTCCGGCTTAAGGTAGGGGAGCTATCCGATGTTGTTTCAGGGGCACTGCTGTCAATGCTGGCCATGCCTAACCACCCCCCCGCAAGACAAATCAGTCTCAGAAGTCAGCGGTCCCAGGATTATCCTTCCCTCTATGCTAGCCCACAGGCTGTCCTACCTGTGTGCTTCTTCTTAGGCCGTCCTGGGGAGCCCCATCCCCGTCCATTATAGCCTCCACGACTGCCAAGTGCCAAGCGGCTTGGAACCTTCCCCTCTGGCCTTGGGGTCAAAGCTGCCTCAGATGGAAGACCCTCACAGGGGGAATGTGGGGAACTCTCTAGGTGAGGAAAACAGGACACTGGGATGAGCCCAGGAAAGGAGACCCCAACATAGCTCCACACCATTCATCCCCCCTGCCCAGTGCCCCCACCTCACCAGGCACATTCTTCTCTGTGAAGCCCTCAGTGGGGCCTGGCCCAGCCCCTGCCACACTCCCTGGCTGAGCAGGCCCTGCAGAGCCTGAGGTCAGTGGTTGCAGGGCCCCTGGGGCAGATGGACCCC